AGCTGTTCAGGAATGCACTGAGTCATCCTAGACCCAAGCATGTTGGAAGGCTTGCAAAGGTCTAGTTTTGCTATTAAAAAGAAAAAAAAGATCACGTGGGTAAGCTTTGAAGATAGCCAACAGGGAAAACTTAGTTCCCTGATTGTGGTAGAGAAATGGTTAAGATTATTTATGGTGGTAGCGGTGACTTTTATTTGAGGCTATTTATTGGGCTCTTACAGGTGCTCATTTATCTACTTAAGAGGTAGTTACTATTAGTGTCCTGTTTTCCAGTGATGAAACTGATATGCAGAGAGGGTCAGTGACCTGTCCAGGTTCACAGATATAGAACGGAGGAGTCCAGCTTCAATTCAGGTTTATATGACTCTAATGGCCTCATTCTTATCATGATTCCATAAATTTTAAGTAAAAGAATAAAGATGGTATATAAAGTAAAAATGAGAACAGCGTATTTACAGAAGACATTGCATCATAAATACATCAGCTCATAATTTTAGGAAAGGGAAAATTACTTACTTTGAAATAACATTGTTCATAAATAGAATCTGAAATAAAGGTCCATCTAATTTAGTATTGTTCACCAATATTCCACTAAAACAGAAGTTAAAACATATTCTTAGAAGACGTTAAAGTAAAACTTGCATATGTATATATAAACACTGAATCTTTATAATTCTTAAGTACCAAAGATCATGTAATATTTTACAAATAAGATCAAGAACCACAAAGAACTCCAGTTTTACCCACTTTAACAGTTTTTAGGGGTATCTTTTACATTACTTATTTTTAAAAATATTTCATAAAAAAATTAAAAACTGGGCTTCCCTGGTGGCGCAGTGGTTGAGAGTCCGCCTGCCGATGCAGGGGACACGGGTTCGTGCCCGGTCCGGGAAGATCCCACGTGCCGCGGAGCGGCTGCGCCCGTGAGCCATGGCTGCTGAGCCTGCGCGTCCGGAGCCTGTTGCTCCGCAACGGGAGAGGCCGCAACAGTGAGAGGCCCGCGTACCGCGCACACACACACACACACAAATTTTTTTTAAAAAAAATTAAAAACTACAGTTAATCCTTCAACCGAAAAGCTTCTTTACCCAATGGCTGTTTGTTTACAAATTGAGGGGAGGGAGGAATTGAATAAAGCAGGTTACAAGAATATATTTCTGAAAGAATCAGTGAATTTGGCTTGGAAATATATGGGAAATTGAAACACTTTATAAATAAATGGGTAGACTCTTTCTGGAGGGCAGAGCACACTGCACTAAGGAGCTCAAATCCAAAATTTTAAAGTAGAGATGTAAAAAGTATCTCATTCCTGAATTTGACTTTCAAATACTGCAAAACAGAACTAGACTGCAGCCTGGAAATCTGCTATATATCCCTTCGGTAACCTGGGAGCAGCTGAATCTCTGATTCCTCCACACCTGCCTCAAATCCTTCTACCTGTACAGCACGTGAAATAAATCAATCTGTATGTGGAATTGCCCACATCAAGTAGAGAAATAAAATTAAAATATGAAGACACCCAGAAACTTGCTTCAATTTGCACAAACTTCAGTTTTAAAAAATACATCATGTTTCTAAAAACTACATGCAATCGCATGACCCTTGACTGGAGTTCAGTTTGAGAAATCAGCAATAAAGACATTCAATTGGGGAAATCTGAATCTGGTTGGGAATGTTATTAAGGAAATCGTGCCAGTTATTAGGCGTGATCATGGTGTTGTGGTAACATGAAAGTCTTTAGAAAAAAAATACATGCTGAAATATTTGGGGTAAAATATGTATATGGAATTAGAAGAAGGAAATATGGCAAAATATTGTTAAATTTAAGTGATGAAAATATGGGTATTAACTGTACTATTCTTTCCACTTTCTGTACGTTTGAAAATTTTCATCATATAAAGAAAAAACAGAAAAAAAAAAATACACCCCACAATGTTTACTGGATAAAAAGAAGAGACACTTCTGATCATGAAAGTTCCAAAAATAAGGGTTAAATCAAGAGATGTAGGGTACAACTTTATCTAAATAATTTTATTTTTTTCTTCCTCGGTGTTCTGTAGAAAGCTTTGTCAGTCTGACAATGTGGAGGATACCGATTAAAAAAAATATATATATATATATATTTTTTTTTCCTTTTTCAGGATACTAATGCTTGCTTCTTATAAATTGGCAAAGCCTATGATGCTGTAATCATTTGAATTCAGGTGATTATAACCCCCTTATAAATATTTAATGTTTAAGTGAACAACTCTATTACAAAGCATATGCTTGTCTAAATATTTTTACATATATAAAAATTGTGATTTTTTTTTAAGAATCCTAGTTACATTCAATATGTTTACTACCTAACCAAAAATAAGTGTAGATCTACAAAGTGTGCTCACATAGAGGAAGGAAAGTAGGGCATAGAGAAGTTATTCTTTAGACATATTCTGAAATATGTCTAAATTCTAAATATGTTAAATTCTAAAATTTTAAAGTTTTAGTCACCGGTGTAGCCAGTTAATTCAGCTGGTACCAGGGACAAAAAATTCCATGTGAAACTGCATCAGGGTACCCCATATTCTGAAAGCCTTAACATACCATTCTGTGTAATAAATCTGTACTTTAGGAAATATTTTAATTTAGTGACTACTAAATAAATTTAATTACAAAATATCAACATTTAATCTTCTATTAAAATCAGATGCCTGAATGCAAATTTACTCACTGTACTTTTTTCAAAAGCAACTACCATCTCTTCTTCTAAAATGCTGCATCTTGCATTATTTCTATTTATGAACACATTTTAATTGTATAAATAAATCTTCAGCTAGATTAATACTGTAATCTGAATTCTAACTTACCAGAAATGTTCGCTGAATAGCAACAGCTAGGTTGATAACTTGCCTGTTCTGAACATTAAGTCAAAAACTTCTGAATTGTTTCACACGTATTTTCACCCAATAAGTCAGTTTTCAAAGTTTAATACGGTTGTGAGAATTCAAATTTTACCCTCACAAATTAAAAATAAAGGATCATTACTATGATTTCTTGAGTACAAAATGGTACAAAAATCCTAAACACCCTTTTTGCAAAAAAAAAAAAAAAACCCTGTGATTAAATATGAATGTCGGGATAAAAAATAAAGGACATTATGGTGCAAATTCAAGATCTCATACCTTGGTCGAGTCAGAATGTTCAATTTTCTTTTAAGTTTCTGATGTTATTGCTTGTTAAGGAGTATAAGCCCTCATTAAATAGAAATACGAAGATCATAAAATTCAACTACTAACCTCACTTTTGGTGTCAATGTTATAAACATATGTTATAAACGTTAAAAGACAAATATTTTGAGGATGACATACTTACTGACCTGTTTTGTTGCAGGGCTAGGTATCTGGATCTAAAAACTAAAATAGAGTTTTCATCCCTTCCAACATGGTATTTCTAAGGCAGGGGAACGTAGTTCAAAGAGACTAACAGACTAAACCAAAAATGTTATGCAGCGTAACAGACTGTTAAGACATGAAGAATCTAGGATGGAATCTATGAATGTTCACTGTAAAATCCTTTCAACTTTTCTGTATTTTGAAATTTTTCATAATAAAATGTCGAGGAAAAAGGCATTATGAAAAAATGACTTCGAAAACCTTAAAAGATGATTTACCAACCACCTTCAGGGGTTTTTACACCAGAAAAACTACCTGAGCCAAAATTACTTGCATGTATATTACAAACAAAAAAATACCAAAAATTCTCTAAGAATGGAAATAAACATAGTAACACTTCTTGCTAGAAAGGTTGTAAACATGTAACTAAAGGCAAACGGAAACTTATTTGGCGCGTTTTCCCCAGGGGTTTGCAATGGACCTTAACCACGGAAGCTACTTCGAAGTGGAAGAACTTTAAAATGAATCCCCGAAGTTCATCAAGCAATTAACCATTTCTCTGCATGCCTCGACTCCTTAACGCCCCCAACTGCACGTCCTAGCACCACTAACTTTTGCCCCGCCCTAAAGACACATCTGCGCCTGGGTCTAAGCATCCGGTAACTCCTAACATACAACTACAGCGTGACTGCAACAACTTTAGCTTGGCTCCAAAAAAGGAGATCGGATAATGACTCCAAAGAGGGGAAGAGAAGTGGTGAAGAGTCTACAAGTGAACAGTTGAAAGAGTCCGGAAAAACGCTAAAAACCGGCCCCAGATTGGGGGGCGGAAGGAGTGAATAAGATCCAGGATACGGATCCCAGAAGGGGAGATGTCTGCGCCGAGGCCTCGGGGACGGCTTATGCAACCCGAACCCGCGATTCTCAGCCTCGTGGAATTTCCGCCCGCACCCTCCCGGGGACGGCACACACTACACTCCCCAGTGACAGGGCCCAGCGAGCGGGAAGGATATTCTCGGCGCGGAGCTGCTCGATGGTTTCCTCGTACTGCCGAAGCCGCTCCCGCAGCTCTGCGTCGCCGACCCCATTCTCGTCCTCCTCGTCGCCGTCGTCATCCTTGAAGAGGGTGTGAACTGGCTTCGGAGTCGACTCCTCTAGGTGGTCAAACGCCTCGAACAGCTCTAGGTCGCCGAAATCCACCTCCGCCGCCATTTTGGGCTATGGGAAAGATACGAGAAGAGGCGGAGCTGGCCCCCAGGCCAAAGGCAAAGGTTGTTGGGCGGCACCGCTCTCTAGGGCTCCGGCCGCCCTAAGCCACCCAGTACGGTTTCCTCCAAACGTAGGCCTCTGAAGCTGCATAATAGGCGGGCCAGCCGAGACTACAACTCCCAGAATGCAATGGTGTCTCTCATACCCGCTTCTGAGGTTGCTCGGGAGCAAGGCATGCTGGATATGGGTTTCTAATCGACTGTTAACTCATTGTTTGCATTGCATACTGGGATTGGTCCTTTTTAACGTGAAGAAAGCCAAACTACATCAGAATGTGCTACAACAATATGAGTTGTCTCTTATGCATTTAAGGCTGCAAAAAATCAGAGCACGATGTACGGCTTATCACAGATTCTGGTGAATAAGGAACTCCAGTTTTGCCACAGACTACCTTTGTGATCTTGGAGAAGCTGCTTCAGTTTACTGGGCTTGTTTCACTTTGCCATGAAGAACTAGCTTGACCTTAGATTATTTTAGATTTGTCTGTTGCAGCTTTTGGTGATTTCTCTCCTTCAATCACTCATTCATTCAATAAAATTTATTTACCGAGTTCTATGTGCCAGGCACTGTTCTAGGAGCTGAGGGTGTAAGAGTGAGCAAACTAGAGAAGTTCGTGCTTTCATAGAGGGTACAGTCTAGCAAAAGAAAGAAACAAAAAATAAACATACATGTTCCCGCTCTTGGGTCAAAGTGGATGTTGATGGGTATTCATCATATTAATAAATTGATATGTGAAATAAGAATAGGAATGGATATGTAACAAATTTGACATTTCTATGGGAGTCAGTGAATCGAAGAACTGAGGTTTGAACTGAATTATGAAGTGTTAGGAGGGCAAAGTTGGTGGTATGGGGGATGGAATTAAGAGAGAGTCCTAGTCTGAAGAAATGGCGTGTAGAACGAAAAGGCAGAGTGGAGCAAAATGAGGCTGGAACATTAGGCAAGTACTCACATTAGGGACATTGTCTCCACCCCCAAATTGGCAAGTCATTTCAACATTTTAAACAAGTGGTGGGTCTATAACCCACAAATTTTCATTTTGGTAAGATGGTCCTGATGGCATGATAGGAAAAGGACTGGCGACAGAGCAAACGTAGAATTCCAAATCTAGTAGACTGATAGATTTTTGTAATAAGATCAACAAATGTTAGCTTGGATTAGGGTAGTGGCAATAGTGCTGAAGAGTTGATATTTAATAGAGAATATTTAAAAGATAAAATTAAAGCAACAGAGATAACTGAAGGGTTGTATATAGGGAATGAGAGAAAAGGGTGGTGAATTATTTGCCAGGATTCTGACTTAAGAAACTGGTTAAATAAGTGATCATTTGAGATAGAGAAAAAAATCATTTGATGTTGACCAGGTTTGGGAGTAAAGGGTGAGTTCCATTTTGGCTATGTGGTACCTTGAGGCAATTTTATCCTTATAAACAATTTTATCCTTATATAACTCTAGTTAGGTAAGTAACTAGACTAGTGGAAGAAATTTTTGAAGCACTAGTATATTGAAGGTAAAATTTTCGGGCTCAGTGGAGGTGTATATTACACAGATATCTGGCTAAGCTCCAAAGAGGATTGGACTGAAGATTAGCATTTGGCTGGTTCAAATTTTTATGGAAAGTAAATACAAAGATGATAGAGAATGAGACTGCATAGTGAAGAACAGAGTGGGAAGGAAGTCTAGGACTGAGCCCTAGAGGGCTGGGATATAGGATAACTACAGAAATTGATGCACAGCCAGTGGGAGAACTAGGAGGGCCCCCGAGAAATTATATTTAAGTATATACTTAAATCATCTTTTGGCCATGAAATTAACTTGGAATGATATATAACACAACTTAATTTCTGCTTCTATCTCCCTCCACCAACCTACTATAGTATTTAAGTTTTCTAATTTAATCACAATCAATGATCACCGAAATTGGAAACATCATCTTTGAATTTTCTTATCCTCCAAGCCAGTTGCTCTCACAAAGCTCATCAAAACCTTGCCTCAAATAGTGTGGTCTTCTCGTCTTACTACCATGTCTTTAAAGACTCTCCTGGACAGCAACTTACGTTCCCGTCGCATACAAGAGTAAAGCCCCAAACACCCGTCATGGAGCACCAGGCTTTGGACACGGCAAGCACAGTAACAGCCAGGAAAAAGGGGAAAAAAAGTTTAAGCATATAAAAGCTTCCCTACAAACTCATTTCAAATTGAGCCAAGCAGTTAACTGTCCCCACCCCCAGGACTCCAATAATTTGCTTCGTAAAATTTAATTATGCAAATTGCAATTACCTATATGCCTCCCTCTAAATCTGCATTGTCCAGGATGGTTTCCCCCGGCTGTATGTAGCTATTAATAACTTTAAATATGACTAGTCCCAATTGGGATGTTAAAATATAAAATACCCCCTGGATTTCAAAAACAAGCAAGTAAGAATGTAAAATCTCTACTAAGAATACTGATTACCTAACTCAATTATTTTAGACATACTAAATGAATCCATACTAAATGAATCAAAATTAGTTTCCTGTTTAAAATTGGCTATAAAAATTCTTTAAATTACTAAATGAGTACAGGATGGACCATATCATTCATCGTGTATGGCCAGCTCCTAAAATACCATAGAAAAACACAGGAAGCAGTTTAATGTGTGCTTTTCATATCCGCACTGCATTACAGGCCCCCAAACATTCTTTTTTTCCCCCCACAAACACTCTCAATGAAACAGATTTCAGAAGGTACAGCTCACCAGGAAAATGTGAATTTGGGAACACTCCAAAGTGAAAAACCATGGTGTTATTTCCCCAGAAACTTGACTTTGTCGCTGAAGCATGAAGAGCCATCTCTCCCCAAAATAATTGTGCTCTGGGAAAACCAAACATTTACCAAAACACATTAAGCAGTCTTCCCTTGTGCTACTACAATTGTGGAGATGTCTGTCAAAGGATTTTTCCAGTGAAAGATAAAAATTATGAATTTGTTGTAATGAGAGCAAATGCAGCAAGTTCTGTAGTCCCCTCCTTCCACCAAAACTATGCCCTAAATTTAATCAATTTAGTGACAAAGTTGTTTTCTGTTTTAGTACTTCAGGTTAGACAATTCAGAAGGGATAATGAGGAAAGGGCATACAAAGAACTTGTTATAAGGCACTTTATTAAAATAAAAGTGCTTACATCCCTTTAATGTATTAATCTATTTCCTGAATAACATATGGAATATTTAACAAATACTGTACACCAGTTGTCCCTTATAATAGTAGGAAAACAGTATTATTTTACTAAGTTTTTTCACTCCTCCCAACTTCCTTTTACATTTTTGCTCACCATGGTATTGCCTATAGCATAATTCTTTAAAAAAAAAAGAAAAGGAATTTCTAGCCAGTGTCTTCTACTAGAAATTGCAAAATGCTACAGAAACCATAAGACAAATTGAAATAAGAATTCCAGGTAACTTAAATTAACACGAGTTTTGAGAAAACCATTTTTATTATCACCACCACCCAGCCTATTTGTGCTGGATTATGTACCAAATGGCCAGATCTTCTAAAGAACATCTACATAACATTTCTTTCATGTTTCAAGAGATGAAAATAACTGTACAAGGTTAAGTACAAAAGTACACAAGACAGTGGACACCAAAAATCCATGTATGAGATTTTATCCCATCTGCAGCTTTTATATATTTGAAAAGTAGAATTCATTAACTAAAAAATATTGTCCTTCTATATAGTCCTGTCAAGTTTAATGGAAGCGGGTTTAACCTGATTACAACACTAACACCAGTATCACTGATCTGATATTTACAAAAAATCATATTTTTCAATAAATTAAAGTCAATGCAACACCCATGCAAGCTAGATTGCCAGCTGTTTGGTGAACAAGGACCTGACATCAGAACCAGAAGTCTATAAAAGTCCCAAGTATAAAGTGTGATTTTCTTCAAACTGTGTCCATTCCTCGCATCGATGATGTAAAACCCAATCCCATTCCTCTTTGTGTGTGGGTTTGTGATCTTGCCATTTCATACTGAGCGTCTAGATTTCTGAATACTTCTTCCTGCTGTTTCAATGTCTTGTAACTTTCTTCATCAACGGAGCTACATCCAGCTTCATCTTCACTCTAAATAACAGATACAAAATATACTATTAAGATGAATTCACCTAGGAATAAAAGGCGCTTCTCTCCCTTAAGAAGTACTAGGAGATCACATTTTTGCAGTGCATATTTGACCTCACTTAGCTGCCATTCATTCATTCAGCACCTATGGAATTCAAGGCAATGTTCATTCTAGGTAATGGGATAGAGCAGGACATAACAAAAATCATTCAGTGGGCCCAAGAAAGAAAATGTAGAACATGCCAGGGACTTCCCTGGTGGTGCAGTCGTTAAGAATCCACGTGCCAATGCAGGGGACACGGGTTCAAGCCCTGGTCTGGGAAGATCCCACATGCCACGGAGCAAATGAGCCCGTGCGCCATGACTACTGAAGCCCACGCTCCACAACGAGAAGCCACTGCAATGAGAAACCTGCACACCGCAACAAACAGTAGCCCCCGCTCGCTGCAACTAGAGAAAGCCCGTGCGCAGCAATGAAGACCCAATGCAGCCAAAAATAAAGCGTCTAGGGAAAAGTAAAGTAGAAAATGGGGGTGGAGTTTAAACCAAATATCCCTTCAATGAAAAACCAACTCCCTTAGTAATAACCAATATCTGAACATTTGTCGACCTTACCAGGTTGTTGTGTAAAACCTAAAACCTTCCTTGGGACTTCACTGGTAGTCCAGTGGCTAAGACTCTGTGCTCCCAATGCAGCGGGCCTGGGTTCAGCCCCTGGTCAGGGAACTAAATCCCACATGCTGCAACTAAGAATTTGCATGCCGCAACTAAAAGATCCCACTTGCTGCAACTAAGACCTGGCACAGCCAAATTAATTATTAAAAAAAAAAAACCCACAA